TAAATAATCACTGTAAACAGAATCTCTAACTTAGCAAAGAGATCCATGACGAAGCTTTCTATCGTAACAGATGATACAAAGATATGTTTAAAAAGTAAGAGAGAGACATCTATCGTAATTACTTGTTCGTGGTTAATCGTACAATGTCACACTGCTCTAATGCGTACAAAAAGAGAAATGGCACTTATTTATCTATGGAAGGTTTCTTCGATGAATTCACACAAGTTCAATCGATCGACCACATTCAGTCCGGAAATCGCTATAATATATATATATATATTTAGAACAGCGAAAGTGAATCTCATTTTGTCCGGCGATACTTACGAATTAAATCGAAGCGAATTCAACGCTAATACATTTTTCAGCCGTTTGCGACGTTCTGTGCCACTGTACGAAAACAAGACAAATAAATATTAATCGTGGTATTTAGTGGCGGCATAATGCCGATTTGTTGATAATATAAATTCTCTTCGACAGATGTTTTGTATTGCTTCCGTACAGACAATCTCGAAAAAAAAAAAGAAAGTAAGAAAGAAAAACTCGAATGGAACAGCAAACAGTAATATGATATATTTGTGACAGGATAAAGTTTCACGCCTATTTGTTGTATTTGTCTTAAACGTAACAAGAAAAAAAGGAAAAAAAAAGAAATGACGTGCAACTTGAAACGATTGTATTCGAAACTGTAAGTCGTATTCAAACGAAGATTTTTTTTTTTTTTTTTATGCGGTCTGACAATGCCGTGGCATTGATCGACTATTCTACTCTTGCTTTTAGGGGCTTCACATACATATAAAAAAAAAAAAAACGTTAAGGAATAAGATTTATAATAAGATTGAACGCATTCAACCGATATCCACTGACGAAGAATATATTTAAGCTTCTAATGGGACAGCATTTTCGAACGTGACTTCTCATGGTCAGACTCAAGTTTCAGATTTATTATAATTTTAATACAAATTGTTGAATAATTTATACCGATACTATAATATTTATATGATCATTATAAATATTATAATGGGTATAAGAATTATTGTTGTATAAAATATTGTATTAGTGTTTGTATTAAGGTTATAATAAACAGAAGAAGGGAAATGATAGTTAGACAGATAATATAAGAAAACAAATAGTCCATTAATAGTCGATAAAAAGATTTCTGAACGCGAAACATTTCTCAATCAATTGGCTTTCCTTTTTGGTTTGTATTTTTTCTTTTTGTTTTTGTTTCTCAAATGAATTTTAAATGTCAATCATAGAAAAGCTGATATTTTTTGGTAAAGTGCACGAAAATGAACGATATTACATACTCGAACGTATACACAAGGATGCGCACTCTTCTCGGGGAAAATGTTATTTAAGGGCCTCTGTACATTAGTATTACTAAACATCATTATACATGTAAAGAAATGAAAAAGGAAAAAAAAAAGAAACAAAGAGTAAGAAAGACAAGAAAGAATGAAAAAAATCTTAACAGATTACCAATTTACGAATTTTCAGAAAGCAGATAAATACGGAATAATTATTCGCAAGAAATATTCTTCATGAAATATATATATTAAAGAATCATATATATTATATACCGATGTCTAATTATAAAATATTGAACAAGTGTTATCAAATAAAATGTTGTAATCTGTGTTGACAATCGCCGACATTCTGAGCCTGAAATATAATCATCGAACCGGTGTACATCATCATGCCTTGAAGATACTTAATAAAAACGTTTTAATATCGCGTGACGAAATAATAAAATGAGAATGACATGTACGTAGAAAATGTTTTTTCAGACTTTCGAAGCCTGAGTTAATAAGGATTCACACCTGTTTCCCGACAAGTGAGAACTGCTCGTTGAACCGCGCAGAGTTTGTATGAATCACAATGTCGAAGAATGTCGAAAGCAGTGTTTAACGAGAATTATTGTAAAAGTGCAAACCGAATAATGGATATACCCGATCGTTTGATAATCGTTTGCCTGTATTTTATTAACAACCCGAGATTGAAAGTTCGAAATAATGTTTAACGATTTAAAACGAAGCGTGGATTTTTAATCTGTATATAGTCGATATGATTTTGCTTCGAAGACATGTTATTACCGGTGAGAAAACTGAATTATACATTGTTAGAGAATTTTATGGGAGAAATATTTAACAGCTTTGTGATGTACGAACTTCGATAAAAAAAAAAAAAAAAAAAAAAAAATACAAATAATTGCGTACAATCAAGTACATACATTGAAACTTATCAAAGACACTATCGATAAGTTGTTTAGTTTTCCCCTTTTTTTTTCTCATCGACAGATTAAATACATGCCAAACGTCGTCACAATTTAGTCATTCTTTTTGTACATAATGCACGTAGCATAAACTGAAGTATAAATAAAATATGACGGAATATGTACGAGATGCGTATTGAAACTTTTGTTATTAATTTCAGAGAATAATATCACACATCTAAAAGTAAAAGTAATAACAAAACGTCAACGTGCATTTAAAATTATTCCTTCGATATCGACACAAACGTAAGTTCGAGCATATAATGGCAGTGTTATTAATCAATGTATTGAAATGTACATCATACTTTATATTAACGTATGTCAACAAAGAGCTTCGTTTTTCCTTCTAAGTTGCCCACATTTGCCACATAATATAATTGTAAGATTACAAGTAATATAAATCGATCGTGGAACTTTATATTTTACTTCCTATATCTAGTTAAAATATGCATGAGATTGCATAACTCAACTATTTTATTTCGAATTTTTTTTTTTTTTTTTTTGCTTACATTACGTTTCGTTACTATTATACCCATGATTAAAGAAATTACACTGACATTTTCAAGTAATAATATACATTTGTTAAAAGC